TGTTTTCTTGTCATTTTAGCTTCTTATCCTTGACCTTTTTTGGAATATTTTTTAAATACACTGAACAAAATTATAAACGCAACACTTTTTGCCCCCATTTTTCATTTGCTGAATTCAAAGATCTAAGACTTTTTCTATGTACACAAAAGGCCTATTTCTCTCAGCTATTGTTCACAAATCTGCCTAAATCTGTGTTAGTGAGCATTTCTCCTTTGCCGAGATAATCCATCCACCTCACAGGTGTGGCATATCAAGATGCTGATTAGACAGTATGATTATTGCACAGGTGTGCCTTAGGCTGGCTACAATACAAAGGAAACTCTAGATTGTTTGTGGTAATTTGTGGTAATTTTATTATAACATCAGTAATGTACAACCTGTGTTATTGCTTTACCTGATTACCACCCCTATCATTCTTTGTCCAACAAATATCAACAAATATTTTCAATCAACTACCTACAGCTTGTAAAATCATCCCTCTGTCTGGGCTTTTTATACTGATGACATGGCTAGTAAGAGATTGCTTGTTCTCTCATTTTTTTAATTATGAAATGAACACTAAAGGTGACATTATAGGTACCCAGACCACATCATCTAATTGAAATGGATTGTGTGCACTTCCCTTGTCATTTTAGCTCTGGAGAAGCAAACATTGCAGTTTCAGAGGCACTTCATGGCCTTTCACGCAGTTTGACTCCATGAAACGACTTTGAACATCGTCACGCTTTGCATTAGAACATCCAGTGTCTTCTAAATCCCTATAGGAAAGCATAGATTCCATCCTTTCCTTTAGGAAAGGACTAATACACATGCAACATTAGTTTTCCCCCCTCGGCTGATGTTGGAAAAGTTGGAGTCTGACAGTGCGCAGAGCAATCTCGACCCTTGAATCGGGTAAGTGTAAAAAGTTTTTTAACCCTTTATTTGCTGCTGCGGGTGGAGGGGGGCAGAGGATGGGGGGCAGAGGGACCTTATAATTATAGGAATACAGTTTCGTATTCATAACACTATAGTGTTCCTTTACTCAGTTTGCAGCTCAGGTACATTTAAACTAATTATGACTACAGTGAAAGAAACAATTAATACATGTTTTCTGTGGAATCATTCAACTAACTTACAAACACCAAGGCTAAACATAACCAACATAACCATGTAAGAAGCAATGAAACACTAAAAAAGTGTTTGTGTTTCACATTGGCCAGCCTTGCTGTTTGCAAACTACCCACAGACAGGGCCGGTGCAAGGATTTTTGCCGCCCTAGGCAAAAGAAGGATTTGCCGCCCCCCTCCGGAACATCGCAATGCCCCACCCATAGAACTAATGCCAGTGCTGCACACAGTGTGTGTTTACATTAAAAAGCCTGCAGGGACAAACTATAGACACCAGAACAACTTTATTAAGCTGCAGTGGTTCTGGGGACTATAGTGTCCATTTAATGTGAGGTAAATTAGAGATTAGTGTCACTAATAATATACTAGATTGCCTACTTACAACCAGATGAGGATGGTGATGGGCTCTGGCTCCACTGGTCTGGTGTAGAACAGGATCTCTGGAGGCTGTTTGTAACTGTGGTCACAAAATTCAATGTTCTGGGAGAACGGAAAGCAGCTCCATTTTTTGGGGCCTCTTACACAGCTCAAGGTCTGGGCCCCAGGGCCTGACGGTGAGTATGCCCATAAAGCCCACCCATAAGTCCACCTACATGTTCCACCCATGAGTTCGCTCACAGGGAGTGGAGTGTGTAGGGGATGTGTTATGTGTTACTGTAGAGGAT